TACTTCTTCTCTCTCTCTCTCTCTCTCTCTCTCTCTCTCTCTCTCTCTCTCTCTCTTTCTCCTTTTCTCCGGTATATACATCTTTTCCATGAGCCAAAATCACTTAACCCAAAATTTTTCAAAATTGATCGCACGAACGAGAAACGTCAACCGACGTTTTCGATTGCAACGAAAACTTAATGAAATTTAATCGCATCGATTAATTTAAAAAATCATTCGTCAGGATCCCCCGACTGTTAGCAGAGTTTAAGAACGGACGCGCGGCAAATGATTTGGCGGGGAAACGCGGAATGGAAAGTGAAACGCGTGGGCGCGTAAGCGCGGCGCCCGGCCGTTTCAACCCCTGACTGATTGGCCGGATCGATGGTCGATCAAACGACCTTGACACGATCGCGGCTGGTCGCAGGGTCAAGGACTCACGCGTTTACGGTCGTTGCATTTTCAGCCGGAGAAGGAGGCTGGTAGCCGGTGCTCGCTGGAGGGAGAATCGAATAAACGTGCGAGAGTAGAACGAATCGACGAAGCTCGTTTGCAGGAAGGGAGAGAGGTCGACAGTCGAGGTTTATCGAACGGAGCGTGTCCGTGGGAGCGAACGAGGCGAGAGTGAGGGACAGACAGAGAGGGAACGAGAAATGGCCCCCACCCACGGCCAGGAGGAAATAGAGGGGCGCTATAAAGAGTATGCCTATAGCCCTGTACCAGCGAGTTCCACTTCAGCGGTGTACGACTCAACCACCCTTGCAAAATATCCCGTCGACATTGGTGCTGGCTCACCCAAATATCGTACCTACGGTGTCTACGAGAAGTGTCGCGTCGCAGAGATGGCGGAGAAGGGCTCGACGCTGCTTCAGTACGTGGCCGCTGCCGCGGGTAAGTTTCAACCCTTTTACTGTTCCGCTTCGTTCCGCCGTTCGTTGGATCGGGGGTTAGGTTCGCGAGCAATGCGCCCGGTATCGATTCGCGCACCCGCTGCGTCCGCTGCACGATTCTCGCGTGACAGGCCGAGTTTGGTGAACCCGGAGACCGCGTGCCAGGCCATCTTTTCGGTTGGCAAGCTTTCCATTTTGTCGCGACGCTGCGGTAGCATCGCGTTGTTCGAGGTCGTTGAATCCTATTCCGGAACACGGTCGGTAGAATAAGACGCCAGTTTATAAATATTACGAGTTTTAAATCGACGACAGATACGGATGATTGAATTTGGAATTTTTTTTTTTTTTTACTTGATAGACAATTCACCGATCATCTGGTTGGAATAAAGATACTCGTAATTTATCGAGTTACGATACCTAAATTCGACGTATCGAAAGCAAGTCGGTGATACGATTGATAGCGGAGGATGTTTAGCGAGGTTTGTCTTAATGGAGAATTGAAATTTTGAATCGGATGAAATTTTCTAGTTAAACTATATAGAATTTGCGTTATAATTTCTCGGAGAGTAAGTAGAGAAGAATAAGTGGATCGTACTGTATTCGATCGTTGAATTAAAAAATTATAATGGGAAAAATTTCTTGATAAATTGAAAATGAAAGAGATTTATATCGATTTATCGCAATTAATTAATCCTAACAACAATTGATAATATCGTGACGCTATTTGTTTGCAAGATACGGATTAGATAATTGTAACGACTCACTTCGAATAATTGAAATCTAGAAGAATGTTGTTATATCTTTTATTGAAAATGTATCTAATCAATCGATCGATTCATTTTTTAACGATGTTTCGAAACTCTTCGTTATTATTAAAGTAGAAAAATAAAAGATACTTCGCTGAATTATTAATTTTACAATGAAATCATGAGAGAGTCAGATTTCTTTGTGATGGACAAGAACGTCTTTTCGAATTATCGCGCGATTTCTATCGCGTAGGAAGACGTAAGATGAAAAGGGAAGATTAATTTAAAAAATTGGGATAATAGCGCGCAGTTTCTCAAGTTTGTTCCTTAAATGTTATACAACTTGACACCAAATGAACGAATTGAATCGTAATTGATTTATTAAGATACATTATCACATATCATGCAGCATTATTATCTGTAACTACACGTGACTACACGTGTTAAAAAAATTAAAAAGTAAAAAAAGAAGATTCCTTTAAAAGAAATTGACAACGCGAACGATATTTAGATCATCGATTTCTTATTCAAAGTTTTTTACACGTAATGTGACAATATTTAGATTAACAAACGCGATTATTACGCGGATAATGAAACGGAAAGCTTTTTCAAAGAAATACGGTTCGAAATCCATGAATTCTTTAATTTGCCTTTACAGAAAATTTTGTTACAAACGAAATTATTTTTTTTTGTCCATGCGTTCTTTTGACAAATTTGTAGCAAACAAAGATGTTACAAATAAGAGAGTGATTTTCCATCGATTCCAAGAAAAATTCACCCTTAATATTCATAGAATTTTTGCATTTAATTGCAAATGAAAGAAAAATTTGTTTACGATGTAGTAATTTCATTTTAGCATATAAAAATAGTAACATAAATAATGCAAATACGAATTATATATAACATAAATGGAATATATAATTATAAATCGCAAATCTCGAGCGTATGTATACATAGCAGACTTGATCGGATGCCATTGATTAATTCGTCGCGCATTATTCGTAACAATTACACAATATTAATTGTTGAGATTGAGGAAATAACATTATAATCGATTCTTGATTATGAACTTTTAATTCTGTTTAAACTAACTATATTGCATTATTCAGGGATCGAGATTTATGAGATTCGCGTCGTTAATAACATCGCGTAACACGTTTATTAATAATTCAATATTTATTAAATCTTTGTTGGCATGATCGAAGCAATGCATTTCATCGAGCTATTTTAGGCATCTTCGCGCCCCGAATATCAATTCATAGTTTACCCTCTAATTAACTCGTAGATTAACCCACAAAAGATTTGAACACAGACATTGAGGCCGTCAAATAACGAGATCAATGAGATTATTTCTAGATCGAGATCTTCGAATATAGTTGATGAATCGATGGAAAATCGGAAAAAATAAAAGTATTAGATAATTTAGCTGCTAAATTTTTTCGAGGCAAATCATTTTCTTATCTATTTTTCTATTTTTCTATTTTTTCAAATATATTGAGCTACTATTTTTATGTCATTCTTTAGTTAACGTTAGCGAATAATAAGTTGGAAGTAACACTCCTCAAAGGAATAATCGAATTTGTATTATAAAATCACTGCTTTACAATTTCTGAGTCATCTTCAAATTCTACTTCCAGATTTTAAGTATTTTCACTATCTCCACTCTTAATCATTCTTAAAGTTTTAAAAACTCTGACATTTTTTTCATATTTATTATTTCTTCATTTCTTCAATTTGCGAATATATCATATATATTTATTCAATTCCATATTTTATAATTTCAAAATAAATTTCTTACGAAACTATCCGTGTCCATTACACGGATTTATCGTTGCTATACGTATAAATGGATAAATTTCATTGCTCCGTGACATAAATGATATTACATTGATATCATGATGGAAAATTGGCATTATCGATCAAATCGTCTGCAACACATATCTACTAAATTTCTACTACATTTCCGTAAAATTCTCGTTCTTTCGTATTCCATCGACAATACTAATTTAATAGAATCTTTGCCGTATCATGAATTATTTTCTATGATGAGATTGGATATTTCGTCTCGTTAAAGTAGTATTTTCTTTTCACGTTTTCAAACGCGAATGAACTATTAAAAATAATCGTTTTTGACTTTTTGACTTTTCTCCTCTTCTTTCGCGTTTGAAATCGAAAGATCCATCTACTCTCGTTACAGATAACAAACTCGCGCACGCCACTCGAGAATAGGGATGTACGCGTATTGTCAAAACTAATTATTAGCTTCTCACGATCCAACTTACAACTCGATATCGACCATCTGGATGGAATTCTCGATATTTCTATAAGCTAGTTATACGAACTATCTAATTATTCTAACTATATCTATAATGTAATGTAATATTCTTAATACATTTCTAGATTTGAGAGAAAAATTCGCGACAATCTCGAAAGTATTTTCCGCAAATGGATACTAGAGTAAAAGTAACTTTCTCTCTCAACGAGTTTCCATTAAAATAATTCCTGAGATCGACTCTCTAAAAATTTTCACTCTCAAATGTATCTGCATCCTGAACCGCATACGCGAGGTATGCGATGATTCTGCGCGAGAAAAAACGAAAATAGCGAATGAAAGACTTTGAATAGCGATGCACGAGGGTTAAGAAAGAAAATTGGCGCGCCAAAAATAACATGGTTTATCTTTAACGTGACTCGATCGGTGACAAGATCGAATCGCGTGACGTTAAATGAAAGAGATGAAAGAGATGAGAATGAAAAGGGAAAGTAGAAAAAAATCGAGGAAGTGAAACTGCAATATCGATTCGTACGTCAATTCGCGAAATATACGTGATTCGAATTACGTTTCTAATTTGAAATTCAATTCATTTTTTCGGAGGGACGAATATGTATAAGGTGCGATTCGGTTTGATTTGAGTGCGATTAAGGATGAAGTTTTTTGAGCGTTTAAGGAAAGCGATTAAGGAACGAGGGTGAAGCTTTTGCTGCTCGAATTCTCGAAAAACGATTAAATTAAGTTTCTCGATGAAGTTATTGCGAACGATAATAAAGGACTCGAATGAAGCGTTCTACATCAACTTTGTTCGAAAACGAAATTCGATTCGGATATTAAGGAAGAGAAGTTGTCAGAAATTTTCTAACGCTTTGAATCAATTTCGCTGGAAAAGTTCTATCCTCCCAACTGAGAGAAATTGTGTTAATATATTCTATAATGGAATAACAGTGTTTCGAATAAATTTTAAAAAGTGTAAAATCGAAACTGCTTTCGTGAATTTTAAAATTTTCAACAATAATTCAACATTCATAAATATAATGTAAGTCTATAAAATATATATAAAAATTGCCTATTTCTTTTTAACATTTCTTTAAATGTTTAACGTAAATGTTTAATGGTTTTTTCCTTTACAAAGACGTACGTATGTAAAATTGACTATTAAAGTTTACATAGATCGAAAAATTCGAAGAAAAACATGTTCTTAAAGAATCGGAAATGAGAAACGAATCATTTAAAACTCCTTTTTATATCTTTGATGGAATTACTTGGTGAAAATGTTAGCAAAAAGTAATTTTAAACGAAATCCACTATTTTCAATCAAAGCTAGAATTTATATAATTTCAACAAGCCTTTCATCTAAATTACTAGAAAAAAGGTAAAAAGAGATAGAAAGTTTAGAGTCATGCAATTTGTTTTGCGGTTCCGTATATCAAAGGATCGAATTATCTCTACAATCTGGCTAATAAGGATGTAATTTGTTCCGATTTTGATCTTCATCGGCCGAGATTCAATTCAAACGTACACCGGATGCAAATCGTTTAATATTCGCCATGTTCAAAGACACGAATCTCTCTTTGCATTATTGCTCGCACGTTAATATCCTCCACACGATTCTTTTTATATCCTCGTTTCAAACATATTCTCCTTTGTCGATCGTTCAATCGAGATAAAATTGACAAAATATTCGCCTCCTTTCGTAAAATTTACTTTGTTACTTATATAACAAGATCAACAAATATTGCGAATATCAAAGGAAAAATCCAATAATTTCATATATAAATAACAATTCTTCCAATTGTAATAACAAATCTTTGAATTCTAAAGGAAAACTTTGCTATGAAATTCGATTTAACCCTTGACACGACCATTTTCCCCACGTATGAAAATCATTCTCTATATATCGTTCCCTTTTAACATCATCCCATTTGTTCTACTCTTATCCATATCTATTTGTTCAACTCTTACACAGAAGTATATACAGAA